AAAAAGAAGTGGTAGACCGTAGACCGTAGCGTGTTACTCCTTAGTACAGCCCTGTACAACGATGAATTAACCTGTTATCTGTCGTTTAAACAACAAGCTAAAATTAAAAACAGTATCAGACAAATGAGGCCGAAAACGTACTTTAAGATATCGGTTCTAAGATTCCAAGTCCGTTGTAGATTTCTTCATAAATACAGTAACAATTTACGTTTGATAAAGCTAATTCATAGTTAAACAAAACAATATGCTGCTAATATTTCAGTGTTCTAAATAAGATGACAAATAATGATGTGGACGAGATGAGCACAGGCAATAAACCATTTTTAACCGACTTCAAAAAGGAGGAGGTTCTCAATTCAACTGCTTTTTTTGTTTATACGATACGCGATTCTTCCGACATTTGAGAACCGATTTCGATTATTCTTTTTTTGTTTTAAAAAGGGTACCTCAGCATTGGTCCTATTTTAATTTGAAGAAAATATTCCGCCTCTAAGGGTGTCAAACTAGAGGTTTCAATAAAACAAGGCAAATAGATGTAATTCCACAAACTTGTGATGTCGGTTTTTTTAGTACTCTGTACTGAGTAGACCCATCATTAAAGTAGACTTACCGGGAAAGTAGACCGATCGGGAAAGTAAACCAAATGGAAAAAAGTGGACCAAACAGGAAAGTAGACAAAACAGGAAAGTAAACGAAATGGGAAAATAGACCAAACAGGAAAGTAGACAAAACAGGAAAGTAGACCAAACAGGAAAGTAGACGAAATAGGAAAGTAGACCAAACAGGAAAGTAGACGAAACGATACAAAGACGAATCTGGAAAAACATGTGGACCGATCGGGAAAGTAGACTAATAGTAAAAGTGGACTTGAGTTCGGTTTTTTTTTAGTTATAATTTGTAATAGATAAAATTGTCATTACCGTCATACTTCTGTCCCGAATTTAATAACGTGAATGAGTGTGTTGAGTTCTCCATATTAAGTAGAAACTAACATTGGCACAAGCCTAGTGACCGCCATGGAGGGAATAATATTCCATATGGATGACCTTGGAACGAATTCCATTGTTTTAACTCGTCCCGATGTTAGTGTTATGGATTTCAACTCGTGAATTTGCTACTATTAGTTGAAAGTACATCGTACGCAGGAAGTTTGTTGTACCGTACAGAGTAAACTTGTTTTCTATTCGACGATGTTTTATATAAACGGAGTGAGCCTTTCCGAAAAGTTTTTCAGGGCCAGCATGTTAAGACTAAAGTTTTTCACGAACGTTTCAAAATATTTACGTCCAGTTTTGAAATCAATTTTAAATCTTAAACTTAATTATATGTTAAGAACTAAGTCCAAACTCATGGTACCACGATTTCGTTCAACTAAGCAAACGATTCTTTTATAGGGAACTGTATACGTTTTTACAATAAGATTCCGGAGCATATATTAAGATTATCATTTCCTAAGTTTAAAACTTACATTAAAAGTATTTTCAGATTACAAAATTGAAGAGTATTTGTTAGATAAAGATGTATGGAAAGATAACATGAGTCTTGATTCTATACAATTATGATTCAAATTGTATTATTTGAAAAGAGCAATCTCTAGAGTTTCTTGCTCGTACTTCCCAGCGAGGTCAGCATAGTGAACGAGCAGTAGCATAAAAAATTACGTTTTCATGTGCAAAAATTTTACCTATGTAATAAATGATTATTTGAGTTTGAATAACCAAAATTAGATTTAAATTAGAATTGAAATAGTTGTTAAAATCTAAAACTTTCGCCCTTTCTACAAAACAACTACGAATTATCCTTGCTGTGTTAATTATGGCTAAGAACTTAGAATAATAACGCATAGAAACCTAATCCGCACACGCTAAGTGAGGCAAATTGAAGCGCGCCCAATGGGCCTACACGAGCGGGCGGGCCTTCAGTGCTCAAGGTCAACTTGCACCGCGAATAGATCAAGAATTTTAGCTAAAAATGACGAAATGTGCGGTAAATGAGTATAAAAATACGTCAGACAAACATAAAATAGATACTAACATCACATTCCTCAAGGAAGTAACGCGTTTCAACTTGTATTTTTATATAAATATTCACTAAAACCGAAAATTAACCTACTACTAAAACTAGCCTACATGAATTTGATTTTTGCCTCACTTGTGACAGTTCGTTTGATATGAAACTATCATTCTGTGCCATTGACTTACAAATAAATGGACGACGGGTCTAATACAAAAACCACGAAAAAAATGTCCCAAGTCAACCTATTCGAAATTTAAATTGTTATGTCATCGCAGTATCGCGCTGTCCGTAGAACAACTGAAGACTAAAGCGGAGTGTCGCGCTCTGTATACGATTTTAGCGCCTTACAAGTGCGGACACTTTTTAGCGCGGACCCGACGTCCATATAATTGTAAGTCAATGTTCTATGCGTTATTATTCTAAGGCTAAGAAGACATGTTTTTAAATCTCTAATAGACATGGCAGACTAAAGTCTGAACTCAATTCTTCAGTTCTCAATTCTCAAGACCCAGGATCCGCTACTGGGGGCCTACCATAACTTTTCCAAAAACAGTCTTATTTCAATGTAAGCTAAGTATATTATTACTCATATTCGTACCACGACGAACCTGTCAACCAAGTAATGTATTATTGAAAGAACGAATGATTTCCTAATATTGTCTATTCCTTACTAAAAATAGGAAAGAGATAACGCTATATGACCTATAAAATGCCATCTCTTTCTTTTTTCATGTTCCGAATCGTCTTATCGTAGTGTAATGTTTAAGTACTTAATGTTATTTACATTCAGAGAACTTGGACTGTTAAAAAAAGAAAAGTATGTAATCATTGACTTACAATTATATGGACGTCGGGTCCGCGCTAAAAAGTGTCCGAACTTATAGGGCGTTAAAATCGTATACAGAGCGTCATTCACGCTTTAGTCTTCGTTTGTTCGACTGACAGCGAAGCAAGCAAAATTAGACAGTACTGCGATGACATTACAATTTAAATTCAACGTTTTAGCTTTTTCATATTCCTTTACATGTCACTCACTACGTTTAAATAGGTTGACTTGGGACATTTATTTCGTGGTCTTTGTATTAGACCCGTCGTCCATTTATTTGTAAGTCAATGTATGTAATAATAAAATCTATTCAAATTACTTTGTTTTCAATAATTATTCCACATTTTCATGAAGAAAAATAAATAAATCAAGCTGCTGAGTCTAGTGTCAACTGTTAGTTTCGGTTGGCATAAAGATGACGCTGTTATAATTTTACGAAATAAACGTCGCGTATGTTTATTTAACGAAAAATTATTTACTATGTTCTAATAATAAAAAAAAATATTGAAGAGATACATGTAAATAAATAAGTTCAACTTAAGTTTTAATCATTACGAATCAATATTAAGACAATAAAACTGAAAATAATATTGTTTCCATTGCATCTGTGTAACTATTTTAAGATTGCTAAATTTGACATAAGAACAATATTACTTTAATGTCAAAGTCGCGTCATCGTACGAACTGAGTGAATGAATAGTCACAAAGCTGCCAATAAAACATCATAGTTTTAACATTACAATAAGCTTACTTTAAGCGCGTTATGGTACGAAAAGTCAATGTAAGGTTAAAGTAATATTGTTTTAAGAGGTTGTGGTAGGCCCCCAGATAGATAGACTCGAAAATGAGTACTACGGCACTTAGCACAGTAACAAGGGCGTGTAAGCAATTTGAAAGGTACGATAACAAATGCATAAAGGACATGTAACAAGTGTAAGCGAAATGCGATACTGGCGTCCGGTAACCAGGAGACAACAGAATTTGAATTCTTAAGTTAGTTAATAGTGCAAATGAAATTATAAATATTAAATTCGTTCATGTATACCATAGTTTCCCCAAGTGGTCTCTACCCCCAGTGGGTGCTGAAAAGTCCTTATGTAACTGATGCTGTCCAGGGGTTGCTACAGATAAACCTGAATCACCTATATAAAGTACACTACATTTTTTAATTTGTAATTTTTTTGTGTTAGTTAATATAACAAATACGTGTTTTCAATTATTCTTATGGTTGATTTATACGTCCCGCTGCTGTGCACGGATCTCCGCACAGGCGAAGATTTAGGACATAGTCCACCACGCTCTGGTCCAATGCAGGTTGAAAACTTCACACGTTTTCCGAGGGTCAGGAACTTTCTTCGACGGACAGTTTTCATCACGATGTTCTGTTTTCCTTCACGGTATATTTCAAATTCACTAAATTTCGCACATAAATTCTGAAGAACTTAGAGGTGTCAGCCAGGTTTCGAACCCATAGCCTCTGCTTGAGAGTCAATAGATCAAACCATTAGACTATCACATCACAGCCTTAGTGAAACCATGGTCTTACCTCCGAAATCTAGAAACGTATGAACTTCAAAAAACGCGACGAAATGTTTTTATACTTGCTTAACGTTTTGGCAACGCGATTGATAAAGCGCAGGCTTCTAAAGGCTCGATTGAGTATTATATCAATATGAGAGTTGAAAGAGATAGTTGGTCATCCATGAAAATGCCTAAATATCACAAACATCTAGATATATTATGTCTGTGCTAAATCTCGAATGGTTTTTACCCGTTTCAAGATTGTATTGAAGATTTTTTTGCGGGTATAAGTGATGATGCTACACTTGTCTATATTTAAGAAAAGTTGATTCTTATGTCATACAATACTTTAAGGGTCGTATTCCAGAACTCTACTCAATGCTCAAGTCAGGACTTGAGTATTGCAGTGAGCACTGAAAATCATACTCAACTCCTTGCCATTAGGGTCGTATTTCCAGAGCTTGAAATCATACTCAACGCTAAAATGTATCACAAATTAGAAGTCAATGTTATGACAAACAAGTTTACACTTCGAGTAAAATAACAACCAACGCTTTCAACTTTTATTACTCTTCACGATTTTTAGAAAACTTTACATTCAGCAATGTGCAGAAACACGTCACTACTTTTAATTAAATTAGCAGCCTCGCAACGTATCCATAAACATTTCAAGTTTCCGCAACATTTTTCGACTCCACGCTGTCTTTTTTCTTATCCATTGGCAGTAAGAAAGCAATCAAACCTCCAACTGTAATAAAAAGTAGGTACAATAGATTTTCAATAGCTACGTCATTGCACAACATCACAACTTAACACGTGTAACATAGGCATCACCGGAGAGGAAAAGTATATTATAGAATCGCTTTGCATGACAGTGCTTCAGATGGCGATGGGCGACTCGGGTTACTTAAATCGAGTTACTTCCACAACGAGTTAACTCCAGCTACTTTTTTATAAACAAGCTAACTCGGTTCGGCATTCGCCCCGCCGAGTCAAATACTTCATCGCATCGGCTTCCGTTGTCACTCGGTGAATCGTAGGGTCGAGTCCCACTCGCGACTCGCAGTTGCTCTGTCAGACACCGAGTCGAGTGACATTACAGTCGGTCTCTATGCGCCCACGAGAAGATACCAGGTGATCCCAATCAAAGCCTATAAAACTATAGTTTCAGTTCATCAGATGGGAAGTGAAGACGTAAATATGTGTGGTTTACACTCAGCTAAAGAAACCAGTTTACTCTGATCATAAAAATCTTTAAACCGTACCGAACGTAAGTCCCCCGAAGACATAGAAGGAGAGCTCGCAGTTGCGCTCGAGCATGTCCTTGAGCACGTTGATACCCACCACGGCACTGCCTCGCCCCATCATCAGTGTCAGGCATACTCCCATAGCTCTGGAGAAATACATCCACATATATTGGAATAAAATCAATAACATATACATTAACCCATTAATGAATTCGGATTTTTAGTCAAGATAGAATACCTAGCAAAGACCAATGGATGAGTGGGCCATGACATACACACATAAGTGCAGAGAGAGGAAGTATGTATTGCTTATAGGTAGCTTAGAATATAGAAAGAAAGAAAATACATTTATTTCTTTACCACGAATGACATCACAAAAAAAATTAAACATAACAAAAAAATTAAATATAACTAAAACACAAACTATTCACATAAACAAGGGCACTAGGCATTTAAAGATATTTTGTGTGGTGCTGCTGTGGTAACAAAAGGGACACTAACTCACTATTTACTGGAAAACCCACGCGTTGCCTGCACTGATTTTCAATTAGAACTCAAAGTGAGTGAATGTTTGGTCTAATGCTGGTACATGCTTCTCGTCTGGGACAGTTTTGTAAACCTCGCATGCAAACTAGCAGTACCTATTCTAACAATGGCTGTTTGTTGTACATACTTAACATAAGTAGGGAAGAGATCGACGCTGAAAGTTGATAGAAGCCCGAAGTTGAGCACCGCGTTGTAAAAGATTGTGAACAGCACGGCTGTCAGCACCCAGTTGGTGCTGAAGTTCAACATCAGACCAGCCAAGCCTGCTGACAGCTGGGTTAATATACAAATCTTCATTAGGTACAAATAATTATGCTATATGGGTCAGGAAGCTTCAACGATACGTTTGAACTTGGTTGCAATAAAATTTCTTGTCATCAGTATGGCTCGATACAAATATCATCCCAATCAATACAATTTCAAACGTTACATCATTACATACTTAAGTAAGTGTGAATTTCAGTAGATGGTTTCATCGGAATTGATCATATTAACTTATTTTGTCACGTATAATCCAGTTATTCGCTTATTCTTGGATTTTGTGTATAAACTATATTATGTAGGTACCTGAAGTGTAATGAGCATGCCCTTTCTGCTTAACCATCGCAGCAGCACCGCAAGTAAGCCATTGACAATCGCCAAGAAAATGTTCATGCCAATCAACATCATCATCGCTATGTTGTTCAGCGAACAATCTTTAACCTGAAAATCAATATTTACTAGAGCGACGATTGTTAATTTTGAAACTTCACTGTTGTTGTGCTAAGTTGTAGTTACAATAATAGCCGGCTTTATACAAATAGCTTTATACAGACACTCCATCGCGAGTGATACAATAATCGTACGCGACTGCATGCGCGTGTAAAGATGTTGGAAGGATTTTGGCTTTCATTTACACGCGCCAGTTTCAAGCGGCCTATCCTGCCTGTTATATACCTTTACACGGACACGCTTTCCGTTATAACAAAAACGAACACAAACAATCGCGCGCGAAAGAAAATTAGTTTAAAAAAATTCAAACAGATAATCGCGCACGATCGCGCGGACGACTTTCCCGCGCGCAATGCTGTACGCTCCTGTTCAAGCGCAGCAGAGTGCTGTATAAAGGGGGTTATTATCTCGTCTTTATTTAGCAATAAAACAACACAAGACAATAAATTGGTCAATACTATGCAGTATGATACCTCGTGGAAGTAATCCGTTGTGTTAACGCTCTTTGAAGATCTGAACATATCACAGTAGTTGAGGCCGCTGTCTCCCTTCTCCAAGGACTTCATGAATCGGTCAAACATGTATGGCAACCAGACCGTGTAAGGATTAGAGCTGGAACACCGTATAAGTTTACATTAAGCTAGTTTATAAACGCGGACGATGGAAGATGAGGTGGACAGATCATATCGCCAATGATCTAAGCTGCCAGGTTCCTGAAAACAACACGTCTGGCAGAGCAAAATGGAGGGAAAGTACAAGAAAAGCAGACCCCACCATCAGATGGGAATAATAATGCTGAGGAATAAGAGAGAGAGTAAGTTAGTTTATAAATAAGTAGCAATTGAACTATTTGTGAAAGACGTCGTCCAGGGAAGCATTTCTGCGTTACGGATTTCAAGGGTAAGGGTACTGGTGAAATTAGAAGCACATGGAACTTGTCAACTTATGTCTCACGATGACGGGAGCAGTTGTAGTGCCACTCAGATCTTTGTGATTTAAAACTCTAAGTGGCATTGCAGGACGATGATGTTTTACGGATATATTGCGCAGTACGTAATTTTTTTATATGGCAATCCCAAACGTTGACCTCTCCATTGCACTCAGAGGTAAAAGAAATTTGCCATAATCTTCACCAGAGGGAAGCTATCACAATAAAGTTGCTGATCCAAATCCATGAGACGGAAGATTATTTGAAGGATTTAAAAAATGAACTTTTTCTTAACTGGGACGACAAACTAACTGAATTAGATTAATTCACGAATTATTAGCTACCGCAACTACACAACCATCATTACAAGGGTAAATTCAAAGAACTCACAAAGTTACTGGAAAATCTGTGTACTTACCAGATATAAACAATAATAAACAATGTTCCCAAAAGCAGCGTGGTCTTGAGCAGTGGTGGTTTGAACAATGGTGTAGTTTGCGAGACGACGGAAGACCAGAAACCCGTCACCGCTGGTGAGGAATCCTCTTCAAGGTACACTGACGTCACCTTCAACAATAGAAGGTATTCACAATTACATGCATGGATGAAAACTTGATCTAAATACATGATACAGTTCCCAAAAATATTCGCACGTATAATGCAAATTGCAATTGAACAAACTTGGGTTCCAGGTTGCAGGGATGGCTATCGATTAATTGATTAATCAGAAGAATCGATGTTTTCGTGGGATAATCGATATTTTTAAATCGATGTCATCTGGTTCGATTATCGGATAATCGATGATTTCATACCGATTTTAGCTAAAAATAGTAAAAGTATATTTCATAAAAATATTTTATAAGCGAGTTAAAATTTGGAAAAAAACTACCGCTTTTAAATCCAAATGTTCACTTTATTTAGCCGATTTTCGAAAAATGAGACTTGCCCGTGTTATCGTGACACCAGTAAGATGGTTTACATAAGCTAATCATAAAAATTTGGCTTCACCACCTTTGAAAAATGTATGTTAATACTGGTGTTTATACTACTATATTGTTATAATTTGTATAATTTGAAATAAGAGAAATGCGGGTTACTTAATGGGGTTCGTTGTTTTCATTTCATTTAAAAAAAATGGTTTTAGCGCTATTATCGTTTGTTTTGTCAAAAAAAATCGACGTCAACAATCGATGTTTTGTTGGTCGACACACATCGCTACCAGGTTGAAGCTTATGGTCTTTGAACACTATTTGAATAATATATATTATCTATACTTAAATCCATATGCAATGCTACCTATAAATAAGTACTTATTTACAGTAGATAGAGGATATTTATAAAACTCTTATCGTTGGAGATTAGAAAGTATTTATGTACGTAGCAAATTCTAAATATACTTACGTATTAACAACTATATAATGTACATATTTTCTTGTAATGGTTGAGATTTTTTTTTAATAATGCGCAATATTTTGTCACAATTTTTTTCAATTATGCGCCAGACTTACTTTTCAGTTACCTGGTCGCAAACTAGGAAATTCAATGTACTGTGAGTACTGGTGGGAATTACACTCAAAGACCGCCAAACAAAGGTGTGTCACAAAGGAAAGCAGACTCGCAGATGTCACCAAACGCGTAACGAACCTTGACCTCCTGCTATAGGGCGGTCCTCGAACAAACGGGCGGTCCTCGAATTCGGCGACCTTGGGGGGAAAACGCCAAAGTGTGACACTGCAATGCACTGGACGAAGAAAGTGGCGGAGTCGAATTGGTGCAAGTTTCACGTCAAACGACGAGGCGAACAAGTCGTGTGCCCACCGGTAAGCTACATGCCTGCCCGTAACAGTTACAGTGGTACGCAGAGCTTTAAATTGCAAAGATACGAGGGGCACTACCACTGCGCCCGTCACCCTGAGACATAAGTTGCCAAGTCCCATGTGCCTGTAATTTCATCAGCACCCTTACTACTACTGCAAGTGGCACAGAACCGAGAGAAGTGACAGAAGGCCTACACCAATATAGTTAAGAACGAGTAAGAAGAAAAGAAAGAATGAGTGCCAGAGCAACGGCAACTCCGAGGCTTTACACAGCACAACCAGAAAAACATGTCGATCTATTTATGCTAATATAGGTAACATAGGTACGCAGACATGACTTACCTCATAATCACCGTCATAATGATTAATCATGTAAATTTTCTTCAAGACCTTCAAGGCTTCTTCTTCCCTGCCGATGCTGAGAAGAAACTTAGGGCTTTCGACTGATAAGTAAAAGCAAAAAGCAGCGACTGCGCATGGCAGGCTGTATACGATGTTCAGAACGCGCCAGGAGTTGAACTGTATGCCCAGAAATTGAACGTCGTAGGAGAACTTCAAAGGGAGTATTGGAATCGCTAAAGCTGAAACAAAAATGCCAAAGATAAGGCCATTTGATTTCTTATCAAATATAGTTTAAATTGATTACATATCAGAAGTCCGAAAGGACATTTTCCAGAAATAAAGTTTGCTCGAAATTTCATAACCTCGAAAGTAATTTTGAGAGAAAATGTTTCTTCTTTTAATCCTACCTTAACCTAACCTAACCGAACCTAATCATGTCTTTGCGATAAACATCCAACATATCATGAAAGAACAACGGTTTCGTTATAATTCGGTTTTCGGGGTAGTGAAATTTCGAACAAACGTTATTTCGGAAAAAATAAATTCGAGTTTGTGATACGTTACCGTCTAAATTTGAGCTAAGGAAAATGAAATTTTGTGACAATTCTCATTACATTGTATTTTATACAGTATGTATTGAAAACTAAAATAAATACCTTCAGTGTTCACTAAATAGTGCGACGTTTAACAATCTTATGTTTACTTCAAAAATTTTGTATAATTTCTTAATTGACATGACAATATAGGTTATTTTTCCGTCCTTCAATATTTAGTTAAGAAACAAGAAAAAATTCGAAGAGATATGAAAATAGTTTAAAGAAATTACCTAAAGAGACAAAACAGTATATAGTGAAACATTTGCTGTAATTAGGTACATAAAATCGCACCCTTAGTAATATAAGGGCACAATCCAAAAAAAGTAGATTTTTGGAAAATCGCGTATTAAGATTCTGGATTCCTACATTACACCTATTTTTTCAAATAACATGCTTATGCCATATAGTACAAAAAATATAACAGAAATATGCAGTTATTTAAGTTTGATCCCATTTATTATTTAAGTCCCTATCAATTCCCAAATATCCCAAAAATCTACTTTTTTTGGATTGTGCCCTTATATTACTAAGGGTGCGAAATGTTGTGAAATAAGAATTTGAAATTCAAGATAAATGTAAATCTTTTTACCCGCCATGGAGCCTGCAGAGAGTAAAAACACAGAGACCAGCAACTGAATCATAGTAAACCTTCTATGTACCGGAGTGCATTCGCTCATCATAGTATAAGACAGTCCAAAGGAACCGGCCATTCTGAAAATAAACTCACTATGAAATTGTCGACTTTTTATGTTTTTTCGGTGTCAAATCCTATATTTGTTTTTAATACAACGTTTCAACAATAATTTCGTATCCTATAGTTTTAAGAATAAAAATGCAAGGTGTTTCTAATTATGTGTCGGATCCGAAAAACAGTAGCATTTACAATTTAAAACTTCCCAATATTCTTTTGTTAAAAATTGATAACTAAATATCCCTCAAGCAATTGAAATGGGTCTAAATGTAATGAATATAACTCTGAGTAATCAATTAAAATATTTCTATGAAAATAGATAATATTACAGTCGTTATAAACCACGAACATAAATCAGCAACAAGCACGGAAAAATTCGTAACATCGGCTGGTTTGTTCCGAAGCTCAGTTGGGAGAGCGTCAAGCATGGTATGCTGAAGGCGCTGGCTCGAATACAGCCGGATATTTCTTAGTGTTCGTTTTTTGTATTAATAACTACAACAAACTAATGGAGTAATTTCACAAAAATAATTGAATATCATTCAACAAACTTACGGATTTAATACCCGAAACGCTAGAACTTGGACCTTTTCAAGGCCAAACTTAGTAAGCATTATTATGGCGTGCAAGCTACATCTTCGACCTCATCATCACTTTCCATCAGGTGATATGGAGGTCAAATGGTGCGCACCTTTCTTTGTTTTAATAAAAAAAAACTAAAAAATAGACTTAATATTACAATAGATAATAATTGAATATCATGGTGGTGAAATATCCCGACACTCAATAAAATACTTAATAGATAATATTATTACGAAAACTTGTTGCATATTACATGAATATACAAAGAAAATGTTATATTTATATTGTATTTACATATAGAAAAAAACAAAGATGGTGGCCGAGGTAGCTGTAGGTATACACACATGCATATAAAAATAATATAAAGATTACAGATAGAGCATAGACGATGAAACGAACACTTACGAGGATGAAGACAAAAACTTCAAGACGCAAAAGACAATCCAATTGGGGGCCAAGGTGGCGGAGGCAGCTGTGAAGAAGGTGAGGCACGTGGCGACGAGGAGAATCTTTCTCCTGCCTCGCGTATCACCCAGGTAGCCCCAGATGTTTGATGACAGAAGAATCCCTATTATCGATTAACAATAGTTGATTATAGAGAACATCAAAGGCTAAGGTAAATTACCTTACAGATAGCCATGAAAACCGTTGCTTCTAGACATGGCAATAACAGCTGTTTGTCATTAATAAATTAATTATACTGTTATGCGATCTTTCAAAAACTGTTTTTGTAAACTGTTGTCAGATAACAGAAACTATAGAACATGACAATGATAGCGAATGAATTTTGTGTACTGTTTTGTTGTAACACTGATTGTAAACTGTTATTTTTAGTTCAATAAATGGTTAACGCAACGAAATCAAATCTGCAACTGTTATAAATTTATCGTTGTTATTAGCCAATAAGCCGAAACAAAACGGCTGTTTTCGGCAACAGATGCATTTAATTCGATATTAACTTGCCTGGAGATATTAAATATTAAAATAGACAATATTTTCATTGCATAAAGCACACAATCGTAGTTTCAAATGTGTGACCTAAAACAATAAGATAATAGATGACAATAAAATATAAAATGAGAAAGAGTACTTTATGTTGTGCACGGAAAGATTATAATCGTAAGATTTGAAATTCGTAGCATTCGCCCAATCGTTTGATTAGCGCCATATCTCTCTCACAGCTATTGGCTATTGCATACTTGCTTGCATAGTCGCAACAGGAAAATAACAATATAATAGCAACAGTTTAGACAGTTGTTCGATATACTCCGTCCAACCTTTTATTTAACTTGTGACAGCTCGAATTCTAATCAATTAGTGATGATCTGCCCCCGTACCATGACTACGCTTAATAAAATTGAAATAAGCGCGCGTTATTGGCTATCTAAATTAGATCTGATTGAGACAGCCAATAGCGCGCGCTTCCTACGGGGGCCTATGTGTTTCCGTTTGTGTGATTATGTGATTATGTATATATTTATGTTATTATGTTTGTGTAATTGATTCGTAGCCTAGTTGGGATAAACTACGGCCTTCATTTAGGAAATCCTGCGATTCCCACCTGAACCACCAAGTGAATTGTATAATATAATTTTCAGTTATATTGTACAATCCACATTTTAAGTCTATATAATTTCTAAACTAGATTAGGAAATAAATATTGAAGTCTGTTTTGGAACCTTTTTTAAAAATCTCCATCAAATTGTTCTTTCCGAAATTTTGTTTTATTTTTTTTTTTTTGTTTTTTATTATACAAAGTGACAAGACAGTTAGAGTGCCACTCAGAACTTTAAATGGTTAAAATCTGAGGGGTACTACCACTACCTTAGATCATGTCGACAAGTCCCGCGTGCCTGTACTTTCGCCAAAACCCTTTAAGTTTTAAAAACTTAACGCGTAGTGCTCACATTACAGCTTGTCGGTAAACAGGTACAGCGGCAGTATTTCTACGAAATCTTTCACAAGGATCTCTACTGCTACTTTAATTATACAACTGTTAAATTATATAACGGAATGTTACTTTATTATCTAGTTTATTATGTTGTTGTATAATATGAATCATAATTACACGTCCTAGATGTAAACAAAGGTGACAACCGAGCAAAAAATACACTTTAAATGGTAATTTCCTATTTTTGACAACAATAAATGTTTAGAACTCTTTCAAACTCTAATCTGATAGAGCTTAAAACACTCCAAATTTTGCAATATACTTATAATTTTACTGATCTTATTTAATACATTAATTATAATAAAGGACTACGTTTAAGGTCGTAAATAACTTTATGACACTGGTAACACAATCGGGACCAAAAACATATTTAGTGCCGCCATTTTGTCGTGTCATAGATGTCATTCGTGCGTCGTTTTTCGAATGTTTACTTGTACCCGTAAGAGCGTATTTATTCAACACGAATTTCATCGCGCGGTTGACGCGCGGCGGCCGCGCGAAACTGTCTCCTCGTGTAACTGGGCGCTAATGCGTTTGTTAAAAATATTACATGTTGTTTAATTTTAAATATTTTTTTGTAATAATCTCCTTCTTTTTCAATTCCGTTAAAAATAAAAGGTTTAGCACTACTGCATTCACACTTTGACACTGACATTTCTTTGTTTAGGTTTGGACATCTAATTACGATTCCTACTATAGTTGAACCGTAAACTTGCTAAATTCTTGTTCATGTTTGTGGAACTCCAGGACTAATTGTTCTAATCTATACTTTTTATATCATTTACCTGTTTCACGACTGTTTGTTTCCCTTGAATAAAATTAAATTATTATATCTAATGAATTAGTTAATGAAATTATAATCATATTATTTTAATTGTATTATCATTATTTAATATTATTTGACATTTTAATTACATTTTAGTTGTATTGACTGCAGGATCACCATTATTACTTTATGGAATTTTGTTATTCAGTGCATTCAATTTATACAATTTTTACTCTTTGGAAAGGGAATATATCACTTTAGCGTCCTACTGTCCACTAAAGCTACTGTGCATCAGGGTCCACAATTGCTTCTCATAGCTATAAGTTTTCATCTTTGTATTTTTACATTGTGGAATGCAATATAATTGCTGATTATAAAAAAAAAATATAAAAAAACTGATTCTAAAGAATCATGCGCAGTAGATATCCCATTTCACGGTTATTATTACTAATTAATGCATACTACCAACCAATGAGTGGTATCCCGGCCATGAAACCTTGTTGTGCTGACGTAGTATTAAGCTCGCATGCGTTGGCTGGTACCAGATACGCCACAGAGGCTGTCTCGTACGCCACAGCGCAGATGGTGCTGGCGCAGACTACCAGCATTGCTAGGTTGAACCGGCCGAAACCTACGAGGCAAAATGACAAGATATATATTTGCCACGGACAGAGAGATAAGCAAGAGCCCGGGTTTTTAAATCGAAGGCAAAAACTATTTACTACTAAATATTTGTAAGTATAATGAAATATAAGTGAACCTTGCTTACTTACTGCGTAAGTACATTTCGGAATTATCGTAGTAGAGATTTTTTTGTAATTGGAAGTTAGAAATCAGACTATACTGGTTTGTTTTCCATATGATTATGTTAAATAGAAATAGAAACCATTTATTGCAACGCCACGTTATAAAATAGGCACATCAGAAAGAAGACTATTACAAATAAAACTGGAATAACACAAAAACAGCGGAACAACATATTACAACAAGTTACATATTACACATAAGACTAGGCAGGCTAGACTGGTTTTGAATGGGCCCTAGCCGAGTGTGTGACGGACTGTGGTAGCGTGCAATACAATATAGAATTTTCAAATTTTTTTTTTGTTTATTAGCAATTTTTTTTTTTTTTCCGACTTTAAAGTTCAAAGGGGTTCTCAGTTCCACTGTATTTTTTTTTGTATGTATGTTACACTATAAATTTGTGAACTGATTTTCTTGATCCACCTCTAAGGGTGGCAAACTAGGGGATGAATCCGGTTTCGCGCTGGTCACCGATTTCAATAAAACTTGGCAAATAAATGTAATTCCACAAACTTTTCAGGTTGGTTTTTTTTTATAAGAAATTTAAATAATTATACGATTTTGTCATTAGTGTTAACATTTTTGAGGAAATAAAACAATATTTTCGAATCTAAAAGACGTTTCGAGGTCTTTACAGGCCCCTTAGTCACTATTGGTCTGCTAACCAGTCAGTCGTTGGTTATTTGAAAAAAATAGTTTCACTTCCTATTGAAGATTAATTAAGTAATAATTATGTTAGGTTTATGATTTACCTGTCATAGTTAGAGCATCCTCAAAAGATACTTTCGTAGTCTTCGCAGCCATTCCAATATGCACAATTATCTAACAAAAATCGGTGACTAAATTAACTGCCAATTATAACAATTAAAACAATAAAACAAAAAAAAACTGTTCACAATTATCCATAAAACAAAAAACTGTTGACATCATGTTTTATAGACACTAAAGCACCCTGACACATCACGCTTCATAATGAATATGTAAACGAGGCATGCACCATATATTATATAGTATTATCGCGCTACTTTATCAGAAACTGGTGTAAAGTAAACATAGCCATAGAAATATTAATATACCTAAAGTTTGTGTGTAATTGTATATTATGTGGCTCTAATGAAAAAGGGTTCAAGTCGAAAACTCCAAGTTTACAGGAAATACGAAAAACAGTTCGCAAGATGGTATGGTATTGTATGGTGTAACGGGATGCAGTCCGTCCAGATGACGACATCTACGACGACGACGACGCCTATTTTGTTTTGCACAAAAGTATTCTGACACTTGTATAAATATTATATATTCTACTTTTAAACGTGGTGTACTAATATTGTATTATATTTTGTCACTTCATTCTCGATATAATATTTAACCAGGTAGTTTCCTTAACTTGTTAGGCAACACTGCACGGTTTTTAGAGAAAAAAAAAACGTTTTGACGTTGACACTCCCTACCAGGCATCAACCGCCATTTTCTATCCTCATTCCTTTTTCGTGTGTGGCAACAAGCACACCTCCACAGCTCTGTTAAAATGTCAAAGCGAACAAACTTAGAAAAAATCGAATATTATAAAAGTAAACTGAAATACTTGGAAAATACAGATGCCAAACGTCGTCGGCGTTATAGAATCATAATATCATCGGACGAGTCGGACATTGATCAAAGTAAGATTTTTTCTTACGCTCATAAATAATGAAAATAAAAAATTAAAATATTCATTTTTATCTGAACAATATTCGTTCCTACGTGGTAATAAGTAAAGAATTTTTTAAATAAAATTACGTCGGGGTTAACTGCGAGTTAATCACTATAACAAAATCGACTGTGAATTGATTTTAATTTGAACAATATTAGGTCCTACGTGCTAATATTAATTATAAGTAAACATTTTTTTTAATAAATTTACGTTGGGGTTAACCGCGACTTAACCACGATAACGAAAGCTACTGCTAGTCGATTTTAATTTAAATAGTATGGACGCGCTAATTAGTAAAGTATATTTTTTAAATAAAATTACGTCGGGGTTAACTGCGAGTTAGCCACGATAACGAACTTGTCTACGAATCGATTTTGATTGGAACAATATTAGTACCTCCGTGCTAATAAGTCACGTATTTTTTTTAAATAAAATTACGTTGAGGTTAACTGCGAGTTACCCACGATAGTGAAATCGACTGCAAGTCGATTTTAATTTGAACAATATTAGTACCTACATGCTAATAAGTAAAGTTAATTTTAAATAAATTTACGTCAGGGTTAACCGTGAGTTAACGGCGACAATGAAATCGACTACAAGCCGGTTTTAATAATTATATTATTCTAAGAAAAGTATATTTAAAATAAAATTAACTTGGAGTTAACCGTGAGTTAACTGCGATAAGAAATCAACTGCGAATTATTTCAATTTAAGTCCCTCATACGTGCAATTAATAAGTGTTAACGAAACACGCTATGGTTAAAACTCAATTACCTACTTAATACAATTCTAAAGAATATCGTTAGTGGTTTTAGGCGACAGCCACCTGCAAAACCAATATGTAGCTTCGCCAACAATACCATTCTGTAAACAGGTACCAACACCAGTCTGTAATACCTGGCATTAGTTTATCGCCAGACGACAATAGAAAAAACTGCATATCACAATTAGAAAGAAAAGAAAGAAAAATTGTTTATTTGCGTCATAATTATGCCATATTACAATTTACAAATTTTACATTCTTAAGCCTAGATATAAGTATAACGCTAAACCGACGTCTACTCAGCATTAGTCGAGGCATTTTGCAACACCCCAACGCTGGTCTTCCGGAGACACCGGCCAGTTAGGAAGTACCACTACGCGCTGCAACGACACGCCGAACCATATAATATTTGGTGACAAGTACGAACTCAATATAATGTAATAAAGTACTTAACAGTTAAATGGTAAAAATATTAAATTAAATGTTCATTGGTATTGCAGGGTAATGTAATATTAATAGAGTAAATTATAGGAACCCACTAAGTAAATGCCAATATAGCATCTATACAACACAGCTCAGGCTAAGTTAATTTCTGTTGATTCAAAAGATACTGTTTACATCTAAATTTAAAAGATTTTACAGTGTGACAATTTCTAAAAGGTGGTGGAATATTATTCCAACATTTCGTGGCGGCATAACGAAAACTGCCACGAAATGCTGCTGTACTGTGTTGCGTACTCAAAAAGCGCTGGGCAGATCTAGTTGGACGTCCAGAAAAAGTGAGTTTATCGTACAGATAGAGAGGTGATTTTGTATGAACAATGCCAAAAAGCAAGCAGGCAAAATGATAGGAGTGCCTAGTTTTCATATTCATTAGATTGCTCTTATTGAGAAACGGGGTAACGTGTGCCCGTCGCGGGATCGGAAAGCAAAATCTAGCGCAAGCGTTCTGAACACGTTGGATAAGCTTTTTAGTGTAGCCATAAAGGCAGTCACCAATGACGGTGTCTGCATAATTCAGCTTCGACAGAATCAAAGCTTCGCAGAGCATAATGCGACGATCAACATCCAGGTAGTTGCGTACTTGATATAAAACTTTAAGTCTGTAAAAGCAGTTTTTAACTGTTTCTACAACATGGTTGTGGAACTTAAGAGTGTTATCCATAAGAATTCCGAGATTTCGCGCCTTTGTTACTTTCTTAATTACAGTTCCTTCAATTTTAAGGCTGGAATTAAAAACATTTACTCTCTCTATTTGACGGGCAGATCCAAGAACGAGAAACTTTGATTTGTGCGGGTTTAGAACTAAGCAGTTTCTATTTGCCCATTCACTAATTCTTTCAAGATCGGCGTTGATACTACCTACTGCAGATAATGTGTGTTCAGGTTTAAAGAATAAGTATATTTGAACGTCATCCGCATAGATATGATGGTTACAATTATTAATGTTAGTTGGTAAGTCTGCGCTATACAAATTAAAGAGGATTGGACC